AAAAATTCCTATCGAATACCGATTGATAATACAGATGTTATTCAACTTAATGTTGGAGGCGAAATTATAACAACAATTCGTGAAACTTTAATCTGTATTCCAAAATCAATCTTATCGATTATATTTAATGGTCAATGGGAACGTAAAATACAACGTGAACGAAATGGAAATATATTTTTTGATTTTAATCCAATACTTTTTCGTCATTTACTTGATCAATTACAAATATTTGATAAAAATAATCCTACGCATTTTTCTCCACCGTTAGATCCTTTACTTGCAGAACCTTTTAAAAAAATGCTTCGTAAATTAGGACTCGAACAATATTTACCATTAGAAAAGGATGTTATTAATTTTAATATTGCTGGAAAAATATTAACACATCATCGTAAAATATTTAATCAAATAGCCAATACTAGTTTTGATGTACTCGATCCATTTTCTAAACCTACACAATATGTTAATAATACTGATGTATTTCTTGATATTGATTTAAAAAATTTTCAACATCTAATTAATCAATTACGAGAAGAACCACCGGAAAAGATGAGTTGTAATAAAATATCACCGAATAGAATGATTTCTTTTTATAAAATGCTTAGTTATTTCAAAAAGAATCGTAAGTAAACTATCGATTACATCGAAAGATTGATCGTCATCTTTTGTTTTAGAACGAATCCGGAAAAAAACAGATAAATGGAAACAACATGGAATTACAGTTGCTGGAGGACATGGACGAGGAAATCAATTAAATCAACTTTATTATCCTCATGGAATTTTTCTTGATAATAAAAAAACGATTTATATTGCTGATAGTTTTAATCATCGAATTGTTGAATGGAAATATGATTCATCATCTGGTTATCTTATTGCTGGTGGACATGGTGAAGGAAATCGAATTGAACAATTAAATCGACCAACAGATATGGTTATTGATCAACAAAATAATTCGTTTATTGTTTGTGATCATAGAAATAGACGAGTAATTCGATGGTTTCATGAAAATCAAACAAATCAACAAATTCTTATTTCTGATATTGATTGTTCTCGTATGACTATGGATAAAAATGGAGTTCTTTATATTTCGGATTATAAAAAGAATGAAGTTAGACAATGGAAGGAAGGCGATGGAGAAGGAAGAATAGTTGCAGGCGGAAATGGCCAAGGAAATCATCTTAATCAACTCAATGCCCCGTCATTTATTTTTATCGATGATGATTATTCACTTTATATATCAGATACTCGAAATCATCGTGTAATGAAATGGAAAAAAGATGCTAAAGTAGGAATTATTGTTGCTGGTGGAAATGGTCAAGGAAATATACTTAGACAATTATCGGCTCCTCAAGGAGTAGTTATTGATGATTTTGGTCAAATTTATATAGCAGATTATGATAACAATCGAGTAGTTCGTTGGGCTGAAGGAGAAAAAGAAGGTTCAATTGTTGTTGGTGGAAATGGTGATGGAAAAAAATCAAATCAATTCAGTGGTCCTATTGGTTTATTATTTGATATTGAAGGAAATCTATACGTTGCCGATCATGGGAATCATCGTATTCAAAGATACGAAATTGATTTTGATAAATCCTAGTTTAAAGAAAACTTTTCATTTATAATAAATAAATTGATTGAGACAATTTGAATAATTAGTACCTATAATTGATAAACAAAGAATGACTAATGACAGTCGGAATGATAGAATTTCGATATTTCTACAAATCTAAGTTTATAGAGTACGAGTATAACGGAATGAAATATTACCTTCATTATATCTATGATCTATTTTTCATTTACTCTTACATCATTTTAATTACCTTGTTTTCTGCTTGAAGTGAGAAAGTTGAACTAATTGTCATAAAATTCATCTCTTATGCTATAATCCATAAAAATCTACATGATTCTTTTTAAGTACCTAGTTTAAAAGTACCAATGTACCATAGGTAAGAAAATGACTCGCTGACTTTAAAAACAAAATCAGCAGGAGAGGAAAATTCAGAAATCAATGTAATAATAAGCTTCCAACTGTTTTTCAAAGAATTACTAACAATTTTGAAAATAGCGCCTAATTATCAACGTTCATTATTTTGGAAACTCCAGGAATCTTGATGAATGAGTACTCTGAAAATGATAGCAAGAGAATACAGAGAGAGAGAAGCATAGTCTGTTTAAGATTCATAAGAAATGTAAATAAGATATTATAGACATTACAAAAATGTTAAAAGAAGCAACAGTCACTTTTTTAACTCGTCTTCTCAATTATGTATTTGCTATACCTATGTTAATCTTAGGTATGATTGGATCGATTTTAATTATTATGATTTTTACTCAAAAACGTTCATTTCGACAAAATACAAGTATGACATATTTATTAGCCGGCGCCATTGTAACAGGCATTCATTTGCCAACTATCTATATACAAATGATTCTTGTTTATGGTTTTGGTGTTTCATTAATGAATACAGATGAAAATGCTTGTCGTGAACATACATATTTACGATATGTAACAACAGTTGCAGCTATTTCATTTCCATGTTGGGCAATTTTTGATCAATATATTATTACTTCTCGAAATGCGATTATTCGACATCGATGGAGTTCTCTTCGTCTTGTTCGTATGATAATTGTTGGTAATATAATCTTTTGGATATTGATCTACATACCTGTTATTTTTAATACTGGAATTATCAATGGTGTTTGTAATTTTAAACCCGGTCCATATACAACATTTAATACTTATGTATTTACACCTCTTGTTTATGGTATAGGTCCTGCTTTCATAATTACTTATTGTACCATGGGTATTGTACGAAATCTTCGTGGAAATCATACTCAAGATTCTGATAAAAAAATTACAAATCAAGTCCGTGCAATGCTTATTCCTCAACTTTTTATTCTTGCTATTTCTGGAATACCATTTGGTTTTCAAGGTATCTATCTTGATTTAACCAATGGCTATGTTAAAGATGCTTTTCGAGTTGCTTTGGAAAATTTTTTTGGTCAAGTTATTTTGATTTTTTATCATTTTAATTATGTATTTACATTTTATATTTATGTTTATAAGTCAAAGGAAATTAGAAAAATATTAAAAAGTCAATTTTTTAAATATACTCGATTGAATCAAGTTAGTACATTTAATTCAATTGAAGTTCATAAATGAATCAAATCAAAATTATATTAACAGTATAGAATTTTTTCTATGAGTATTTGTTGTTTGTGATCTCGTTTTTTTTGTTAAATCAAAATTTCTTGTTTATCTTTGTCAAAATAACATAAATATATCGTATGAAAAAAAGAGAATAATAAGACTTTATTGAATGCCAATGTATATATACATAGAAATGTCATATAAAATATGTAATATGATTAATTTTTCGAAAATCGTTTGTTTTTTGAAAATAATTTTCTTTTTTTGTAATACAGGCAGCGTATTATATTTCGACTCGAACACATACAACTCACAACTTTTGTTTATAAACTAAACAATATTATTGAAATTCATAAACATCAATATTCATTATTATCAATGAAAAAGCTCTGGTACGATAAAAAAAAATACCTGGGTACATTTAGCAAGGTTATATCATTCTCTTCTTTTTTCTCGAATAATGAAGAACGTTAACTAGAACTTTTAACTAAGAAGAAAAATTGACAAAAATACTATAGATAAGTTCATTATGTCAGTAGTAGACTAAACAATTAAATTTGTTTCCTTTAATAGAATGAATAGGAACATAATATTTTCACGTGATAATATAATTTTAAATAAAAAATCTTCATTATAATAAAGCATGTGGATTCTTTAGAAAATTAAAGAAAACAAATCTATTCTATAGACAAAATATTATCATGTCATCTTCTTGAAAATTAAGCTAAGCAGAGAACAATTAAAAATTAATTTGGAAAAAAAGCATGTAAAACATGGTTGCTTATTATATTGAATATGAGATAAATGATACAATATGGTATTTTCAATATATCAATTAATATTTGTTTTTTGAGAAATCATTTTATAATGGAACAATGAAAGTTATTGAATTAATAAAGTATTGTCGAATAGTCACTGTGATGACAAATACCATTGAAATCTTTTATATAGTCAAATACTTGGTAATGCTATCTGATATGATATTCTTACGACTTTTATATGATATTTTATTATTCTCTAAGAGTACCTATACTTCAATACATCAATCTGTTAAATAATTGATTACTATTGTAAAATAAGTTTGTTAGAAAGTACATATTCGATTTTTTCTACAGTTCATGCACATTGTTTGTTTCAACTAATATCATAATAATAGAATTTCGATAAGAACTGTTTTTATGTAAAACGTAACTAACGAGTGGGTTATAATGAATCGCCTTATTTGTAGTACGTTTTATTAAAAAAAGCGAAATATATCACAGGATGCAACACGAAAAACTCTACAGTTTATTTTAGTTGTATACTTTTTGTTTTGAAGAAACGCAAAATTGTGTGCCCATCTTTTGCTATTGCAAAAAAAATCATTCTGTTCTACACAAACGAAAAATTTCTTTTTTCTTATTTCATCTATTTTTCATCCATTACATTTGATTATATAGACAGTAATATTTATACTATACAAATAAGCATACTGATTAATGATGAAGTTAAAAGTGTAATAGTGATAATCTTACTATCAGGCGGGCACATATAAATGTCTTTATTCTTTTTGATGAAAAAAAGAAATGAAAATTGTATGTCTATTCGAACCATTCACATTTTTTATTTTTTGCAAATAAACGTGTCTACTCAATCAATATTGATTCAACTTTTGTTTATTGACTTTTCAGATGCAATTCGTTCGTCATGTTGAAATAATGTTCTGTCAGTATTTATAATTTCGCGGAGTAAAACTATTAAATAGATGAAAACGAAAATTACAAAATTTTTATCGGCGAAAGTGAAACAAATGAATTTATATATTTGAGTATCACAACAGTTCGTGCATAGTTGACAAATAAAACATATTTTGACGATGGGATCAGCATTGAAAAAGTCTACACCAAGTGAAAACAATCTAGAAACATCGGCTCTTGTATGGCTCGATAGTACCGCCAATAAATTACAAGAAAGTATTGATGCACAACATCAACTTCGATCAATAATTAATCATTTAGAAATATTTGAATTTGAAAATGATTGTGAACAATATATAAAATCATTATCAGAACTTGATCGAATTATTCTCATTGTTAGTGGTGCATTGGGTCAAAATATTGTTGGTCGTATTCATCAATATCGACAAATTGTTTCCATTTATGTCTATTGTGGAAATAGACAAAAACATGAAGGATGGACTAAACAATATCCAAAGGTATCTATTTTATATTTAAAAAAAATATCATCATTAAATTATTTTTTTGTCATTTAAGATTCGAGGTTTGGCCGTACAACTAGATGAACTTATTAGTAAAATACAATCCGATCAAGTAGAACAACAACATAACAAAGTAAATGAACCACTTATATTTACTACATACAATACAAGTAATTCTGATGAACAACTAGCAAGTGGACTCAATGGACAATTTGTTCATTCACAATTATTAATTGATTGTCTTCTTCAAATTCAATTCACTTCAACTGATAAGAATGAATTAATATCCATTTGTAAACAACAATACGAAGGTAATGATGATCAATTAGTTCTTATTCAAAGATTTGAAAATGAATATAAAAGTAATCAAGCATTACGATGGTATACTAGAGATTCGTTTATTTATCGAATGTTAAACAAAGCACTCCGAGCACAAAATATTCATTTAATATTTTTATATCGTTTTCTTATTCGTGATCTTGAAAAACAATTAAAAGATCATCAATGTTCATCACGTTTAACTGTTTATCGAGGTCAATTAATGTCTACTAAAGAATTTGAAAATTTGAAAAAAAAACCAATTGGTGAACTAATTTCAATGAATTCGTTTCTATCAACAAGTCTCAGTCGACCATTAGCTTATTCATTTCTTCGTCAATCGACAGATCTTGAACGTGTATTATTCGAAATTGATGCTAATCCTGAAATTCATGGTATTAAACCTTTCGCTAACATTGCTTCACTTAGTTACTATCCTAAAGAAGAAGAAGTTCTATTCATGTTAGGATCAATCTTTCGTCTTGTTGATCTTAGTCATGATCGAAATGGAGTATGGACAATAAAATTAAGTTTATGTAGTGATCAAGATCTTGATTTAAAAGAGATTTTAAATCATATGAAATCTCAAAATACCGAAGAAAATATAAAACTTGTCAAATTAGGCGATATTTTACGACAAATGGGTAAATATGATGAGGCTGAGAAATATTATCATCGTTGTCTGCATAAACTTTCATCAGATGATGATCGAAATATTTCTATATGTTATTATGCACTTGGACGTTTAGCTGATTGTAAAGGTGATTTAGATCAAAGTCTTGAATGGTTTCAAAAGTCATTGGAAATCGATATGAGAATTTTAAAACCAGATGATCCAAGTATTGCAAATACTCACAATAGTATGGCTAATATTTATCAAATCAATGGTGATTATCAACAGGCATTAAAATCCTACAATAAAGCACTTAAGATATTTCGACAAGCACATGGTGAAGGTAATACACATGTAGCTATGTGTTTGAATAATATAGGAGCTATTTATCAACGCGAGAAGAATTATTCCGAAGCTCTAAACTATTATCAAAATGCATTGACTATTCGTCAGAAGCATCTTCCTTCTAATCATTATGATATAGGTGGATCATATAATAATATTGGTATTATATATCGACATCTTGGCCAATCTGATCAAGCTTTAGATCAATATAATCTTGCATTAGGAATCTACAAAGTATCACTTCCGCCTCAACATCCAGATATTGCCATGACACTCGAGAATATAGGTATCGTTTATGAAGAAAAACGCAATTGGAATCAAGCATTATCGTATTATAAAAAAGCCGAAGATATCTATGATGCAATATTGTCGCCAACAAATTCTGATGTTGTTCAAATTAAGAAAAATATCGAACGAGTATCATCTAAATTAAGTTAACATTTTGATACTGTTTTAATAATAATGAAACATATTTTTCTCATTTTTTATTTTATTCAATAATAAACAAAAATATCATGAAAATTTTTATTTCTGTTTTTAATGAAACTATACATTTATGGTAGAATGAAAAGAGCAAAACATCTAAATTCTTCAAGATCTGAATGAATGAATGATATGAGAGAATATTGTTTGCATATTATGTAAAAACTATTTTGAAGATAACATGAAAATTTTAACAACAAGAAATCGTATGATGTATCCATAAAAATATGTAGATAATAAAATTATTATACTTGCAAATGAATAAGTTTCAACGAATATTATCACTTTATTTATACATTCGAAGAGGAGAGACGATTCGTAAAATGATGATCTATCATAAGTTATTCAAAAAATATCTACTTACCCTTCATTTTAAGAGGGTTAACAATTTATATACTTTGATTTCTCTAGAACTGATTTCTCTGACGAATATACTCATCGTTTGTAATCAAGGACTTAAGTAGAAAATTGTCTCGCAGTTTTCAACAAATACTCGGATGAAATAACACATTTTAAATTAATAATCGATTAAAATGAGTATATACTCATTAATACTTTAGTTCAGACTCATAAACTCCACCATAATAAATCGTACTTTACCAAATAATACCTTCATGTGCACTTGATTATTCAGTCATATGACGACTACGAAAAAAAAATCGCGTCATACATTGTGTATTTTATTTCTTCGTCAATATGACTCCATGCTTATTGTTTTATCAAGGTAGAAAAAATATCAATCTATGCATCGTATAAATATAATAAAACAAACGAAGATACAATTTCGTACTTTTTTTGCATATTTATTTATATATTTGCATTCATTGTATTCATACTTAATATATTCATCTTCTATTCAAAGCATTGCTAAAATTCACAATATAAAAACATACGTTTAAATATATTTCTACAACATTAATACATACGTAGATATATATTGAGAAGTTCTTATCTTCGCAATGATTTTATTATTATATATTCTAATATCTATCAGTATTTATTTACCATCTACAATCTGTGTACCATTAAACAGTTGTACAACAGGAAAACTAACTGCTATATACGATTATATTATTATTGGTTCAGGTCCTGGAGGTGCAACGATCGCTACACGTCTAGCATTGAATGATTATAAAGTATTATTAATTGAAGCTGGACCAGATTATGATGATATCATTACTGAAACACCAGTATTTTGGCCAGAAGTTCAATTAGAACCGCAAATAACAGCACAATTTAATCCGTATCTTTATTCAAAAGAAGATAATAGAACAATACAATATCCAAGAGGAATTGCACTAGGTGGTAGTACATTAATTAATGCAATGATAATAATGACACCCAATCCATCAGAATGGGATGATATAGCAAATGCTACCAATGATACAAATTGGAGTTATGAAAATATTAAAAGTAATTATCAACCATTAGTTGAAAACTGTGAATATTGTGCGAATAATGATAGTGATGCAAATAAAAATGGTTGGTTAAATATATCAAGATCAACAACTGGATTTGTAGAATCACCATTACTTACAAAAAATCCTGTTCTTACGGAATTATTAAAAGCAGTCAGTTCAGAAGTACCATATAATCCAGATGTGGATAAAAATAATACTTATGATAGTTATTACTTTACACCTAAATCAGTTAGTCAAGATACAGGTCACAGGTCTGACACTTATAGACGTACAAAAGATGTACAAGCAATTAAACCAACAAAACTAGATGTTTGGACAAATACTTTTGTTACTAAAATAATTATCGATAATGGAACAAAAGAAGCATGTGGTGTAGAGTATGTCATAGGTGCATTTTTATACAAAGCTAGTCCATTAGAACCACTGAATCCGGTTAAGAATGATTTTGTTAAATTATCAGTATTCGCAAAACGTGAAATAATTGTATCAGGTGGTCAGTGGATGTCACCACAATTGTTACAACTCAGTGGAATTGGTAATAAAACTCTATTAGAGAAATTTAATATTGGTGTTATACAAGATTTACCAGGTGTTGGTCAAAATCAACATGATCGAAATGAAATGCCATATATTGTTAAATTAAAAGTCAATCCAAATTTTCCTGGACCAATCGATCCCACTTGTATTCTTGGAGGAATACTTAATAGTTCATGTTTAATTAATTCTACAATTAATACACCAGAAGATTTTTTATCATCAAATGCTATTCTTTTCAGTATACTTCGTTCTGCGGCACCAATAAAAGCTAACTTTCCGGACAGTGCATTATATTTTGCACCACTAAAATTTACTGGTTTCAGGAAAAATTGGGTAATAAAAGCAGCTCCATATACAATAGGACCATATATAACAGTTATTATCAATTATGCACGAGTTAAAAATAATTTAGGTACAGTTGAAATTAAATCAGCAAATCCATTTGATACACCACTAATTCAATTAAGACATTTTGAAGGTCCAGATGGTCAAACAGAAGTTAACCAAATTATAGATCATATTCGTTTTCTACGAAAAATATTTATACAAAGTAATTTTTCACAATATGTTGACTTTGAAGAATTACCAGGTAAAGATGTCAGAAGTAAGAAAGACTTAAGTGATTATATACATAGAGAAGTATGGGGGCATCATGCCTGTTGTACAAATAAAATGGGCGATACAGAAAATGATCCATTAGCTGTTGTCAATTCAAAAGGACAAGTAAAAGGTGTGAAGAACTTACGTGTTGCTGATATATCAATATGGCGAGAAATGCCTGGTTATTTTCCTTTTCTACCAGTTTCAATTGCATGTGAAAAAATAGCTAATGATATTATACAACTAGCTCGTACATGAAGAATTTTAACACGGAACTAAAACTATTATTCATATATAACTTTTATCAATTAATCCATTTTTTTTTGTCGTTTATGTTTAATTCTCAATACATTCCTTTCTTCTCATTTAAAACATTGTTGCAATACAAAATATCAATTTGTATAATATTTGTTTTGATTGAAAGCGTTTTTTACTATTTATTTTCATGATTATCCAATCTTGAAATTATAATAATCGATTTGAAATCTAATTGATTACAAAATTCGTTTTACTTAAGTTTTAGTATATTATGATATTCTTACATTATATACAATGTTTCAGCAGCAAGTAAGGAGTAATATTTTGAATTTTAAATAATTTTTTTTTATATTTTAAGATTGATTAAAGTAAAATTTACATTCTGTTTTTCTTTCACATGAGATAACAACTATACTGTATGAATACTCTATTTGAATATGTTGTGTCAGCTGTTGTTTTTTTCCAAGAGAGTATTGGGCTCTCTCTCTCAAATAAATAAATAGCTGATAGCGTATTAAGAAATGTATTATCTAAGAATGTCGCTATTTCACTTTTCGGCATGTTTTTTAATTCTACTATCACTCTTTCAATCAGTCAATGGTGTTGATAATGAAGATCAACAATGGATGGATTATATTCAGCGATATGGCAAAAAATATACAAGCGAAGCCGAAACACAACTACGTAAATCATATTTTCTGGTCAATTTGCATGAAGTTAGACGACATAATTCTCAATCTAATCAAACATACACAAAAGGCATCAATCAATTTTCAGATTTAAGTCAACTTGAATTTGAAACAAATGTTCTTACACCACAATTAGCATTTGCTCCTATTCCACCACCAACGCCTATATCATCACCCATGAGTCGATCTTTGTCAACAGCCGCTTCAGTTCCTCTTGGCTGTACACGTGACTCGAGCAATTGTTGCATCTCATCAGCCGATCCAAACAGTTGTTGCTTAGCACTTGGTTTAGGTTCATGGAATCGACGCCAATGTAGTTCAAGTAGCAGCATTGGAGGTATTGTTCCACACAATTGTGTACATCATGATTCTCAATGTTGCCGTTCATCATGGAATCCGACTGAATGCTGTGCAGCTCTTGGTTTTGCATCTTGGGATGGTGGTTGGTGTCGAGGTGTACATTCAGCGAACGTTCCACAAGGATGTCAATCTTGGAATAGTCACTGTTGTTCAGATAGTACAATGCCACAAAAATGTTGTCAAGTATTTGGTTTTGAATATTACGATGGAGCTTATTGTCGAGATTCGCAATTTTGGTATCCAGCAGGTGAAACTTTACCAAATGGTTATCCAAAGAATTTTGATTGGACATCATTGACCTATCGAGCAGTGACTGATGCAAAAAATCAAGGTGGATGCAATACATGTACATTCTTTGCGTAAGTATTATCAATTTGAACTGATTTATTTTTAAACATGAAATACATTTTTTATTTCAGAGTTGCAGGAGCTTTAGAAAGTGCTTATGCAATCAAACATCAACGAGATGCTGTTCCTCTCTCTGAACAACAACTGATCGATTGTTCAATGCCTAATAATGGTGGATGTTGGGCATCAAATTTTGATGATTCATTGAATTATGTGATTCGATCACCTAAAACTGCTCTTGCTACTGAAAATCGATATCCCTATCAAGGTTTATTCGATACTAATTTTTATTCTCAAGCGTGTAATGATCGATGGACTCAACGTATGGATGCTTCGCATTATTTTGAAAGTAAAGAAACTTATCATGATGCATGGGATACAATTAATGATGATCTTCTCATGCGTCTGGTGTCAAAAGGTCCCATTGCTATTGCTATCAATGCTGATTTTATGGGTGGTTATGGTGGTGGTGTCTACCAAGGTCCCTGTCCTCCACATGTTAATCATGCAGTACTTTTGACAGGTTGGGGTACTGATGCACAAGGTATTCCATTTTGGCGTGTAAAAAATTCTTGGGGTACAGGTTGGGGTGAGAATGGTTTTGCTCGTTTTGAACGTAAACCTGGACAAAATCAATGTTTCATCTATCATGAAGTAGCTCGTCCAACGGCTATGTAAAGGAAAAGAGAGAAAATAATTTCTTTGCTTTTCATCAATATTTTTTGTTTTCACAAAGAGGATTTTAAATAAAAAAAATCGATGCATATACATCTTCTAGTATTTAACAATTATATATAGAACTAATTGTTCTATTGCCTTTGATTAATTGTAGCATCACTCAAATCTGCAGTTACATTCAATCTATCTACGCACAATTATCCTCATCTTTTTAGAAAACATAAAAGTAAAATTTTTTGAGGGGTGGGTGGGTGTGGGTTTATGTCAAAACTAATACCCGCACCCACACCCTGATTTCATGTTTTTCCCATTCAAATTGAAGAACATCTTGTTTTGATACACGATTTCTAACATAATCTGATTTTGACAATATTCTTTTAGTTTATTTAATAACTGTATTCGTGTTCGATATCGATGTTATCCGTTTGGATAAAGTTCTGTATAAGCTAATCGATCAGGTACAATAACATCTTCTTCAATTAATAATTGTTCATATTCAGATTTTGATTGCGCAAAACCCCAATGACGAATATAATACGATGGTAATTTATTTAATATTTCTGAAAATATTCATCAAATGATTAATCAAGAATAATTAAAGAAATTTTTTCATGATCTGTATTATGTTTCTAACGATGTGTCTAAACAATACATCTTCAAAAAAAATTATTTCTTATTTAGATTAAAGGAAATAATGTACTTCAATTGTTATAATGATTCTTCTAATGTATACTATAAAACTTATGATTTACTTTCTTTTATTTATCGAATATGTTTCATATTTACTTTAGATGATGGAATTCGATTTAGAAATGTATTTAAATTATAAAATAAATTAAATAAACAAATATTAGTAATGAACGAAGGTCAATAGGAAGAGATATTAATTCATTTAAATTAGTGATTGCTGGACATCTTGCACGTTATGGCCATTTTATACCAAGGTAATGCTATTAAAATTGAACAAAGAGAAAATGTACAATGAGAACTAATATAAAATACTTCGATTAATAGAATATCACATATAATAAATTATTTTTATTGAAATCTTCTTTGATGTTTTCTGTTGCCTTCGTCAATCAAACAACTTCATATAACTAATCACGTAGTCTATGGATCGAGTGAAAAACGTCATGATTTTAGTTATTATGAAAGAGCAGAAGCGAAAAGTCTTTATGAAAACAAATATATCACAAAATAAAATGTCAATGAAATGAAAATGATAGGCATAGAAGAGTTTTTTTCTACAACATACGTTTAGAAAATAAACATTTTACTACACTTAAATGAATAAACCAATCAAAAAAAAGAAATATACTTTTAATTTCAAGGACATAATTACCTATTGCGAGGAACAGTTTTATGTTCTTTCAAAGAAAAGAGTAATGTAGGCAGTAACGAAAAAAAAAAGTAAAAAAAAAATCATTTATTCCTGCATATACTTTACTTTTTTTTCTTTCATCACACAAAAAATAATGCGGTCTATTACTGTCTTGCTTTTCGTTATAGCCCTTTCATCTGTAAAAGGTTTGTTAGATTATCTTTATTAATTTGATTCTATCACAATATAAATAAATTCTATAGGACAAACTACACAACTGCCTAATTATTCATGTAGTGAAAATAATGCTTCTATTCAGTTTACACTATCTTCATCATCTCATTCAGCATCGAATTCAACATCAAGTTGTTCTTTACAACAATGTAATACGAGTTTGAATAATAATGATAATTGTCGTTTATCATCAACACCTTGTTTTGATTATCGAACAATAAATAATATTAGTTATTGTGCACCTGGTATTTTATGTTCAATATTAGAAAGATGTGATAATATTACACAAATATGTTCATCAAATAATTCAGTGTGCGTTATTAATTCATGTTGTTCATCGCAAGCAGTATGTTTACCATTCTTAGCGACACAAATGTGTAAAACAGGTACTAATAGATATTATTTACATTTTAGACTTCATCACACTCAACTGGAATAATTCATTGTATTTATAGTTATAGATAAGATATTATTTATTTGTAGAAAGTCTCTATCAAATGATACTTTTCTTGTAGTGAAAACTAATATGATAGATGTGAACTAAGATAGACTTGTGATATTCATTGTTAACTAACAAAAGATACGTAAGAGAGACGAAGAACTGAAGTATGTTGAAGTGTTCAGTTTAGTTATTAAGTGAGACATTAATAGAAGTTGATATATGATTTAGTTGGTAGAATAAGTGATTATAGTTTTATAATAAACCAATGTTCTTTCTGTTTTGTGTCCGAGCTGAAATATTTTGTAGAACAAACTTTTATAACATGCTTTGGTGTTTATATTTGCTGCATTAAATAACAAACTAATATGAATGAATACATTAAAGTATACAAATTATTATGATAGATTATTTGAAGTGAAATTTATGTTTTCCTTGATTCTACATTCTTATTTACTCCTACTTTTTCTGTTGCTGTTATTGTTATTGTTGTTCTAGTGGTAGTAAGTTTTAGTTATGTTAAATATGATTTAAACGACATTGTTTATTATCAATATTATAGTTATTGTAAAATAGATAAATCATCTGCGATTAAATTTAGCAATAGCATACGCGCGAAGGTGAAACAGTTTTGATAGAGAATCTAAGATTATCATTCAGCGAGCAATAGCTATCTCATCTATCTTGTTTTGATTGATGAGATGATCGAGTGAACTATACAATTAGACATTAAATATCTATCTTTATCTTGAGACTAAACTTTTATCTCATGTTTAGAATATTTATATAGGTTTGTTTTTTCTATGATAGTGCTCATTACATAAGAAGATGCGAATGGTGAATTGACGAAAATATGTTGTCGTGCTGATAAATTTAAGCAGAACACTTGGTAAGATATAAAGCATCACTGAGAATAAAGTTTAGAATAACTAAATAATAGAATTTATGTGTGAACTGATAAAGAACTAACAATGATTTGATCGTGAATTATCAGAGACTACGAGATTAAACACCATTTTTTTACTACCTCTTGCTTTATATCAGTTCCGATGATGAATACTATATAGTTCTTTTATCAGTTACGCATAGATTATCTAAAAGAAAATGTTATGAATAATTCATTATTTTGGTTGTCATATTCAGATAACTATAAAAGATTTGATGCGGAGTGCATATTTTTTATTTTACAGAATATCTTTCATTCATAGCTTGTGAAATTCGTGTACAGTCGGAAAATACATCGGTCACAATAATTATCACAGAGGTCAATTTTTGGCAAACATCTTTATTATATTTAATTGAGACAACAGAGGGAATCGAAAATACACAAAACTGAACGTGTGATAATGATATGTGAAGAGATTTTGTGCAACACGTTTGTCTACTACTCTTGGTCTACATAAGTTTGAGGTGATATAAAAGAGACATATCAGAGACGGTCGCTTTTCGAATAATGAAAAATATTGTACAAGAATAATGAATTTTAAGTGTTGGACGATCTAATATTGTATTGTCTAAATATAAAAATTTATAACTTCTAGGATGGTTTTCTACTGGCAATATGAGTGCTGCACGATATGCTCACACAGCATCTGTATTATTAAATGGATTAGTATTAGTTACTGGTGGCTTCGATTTTAGTAATTATTTAAATAGTGTTGAGCTGTATGATCCATCAACAGGCACTTGGACAACTACCGGTAGCATAACTGAGGCACGATCTGCTCACACAGCATCTTTATTATCAAATGGAAAAGTATTAATTACTGGTGGATACAATGGCAGTTTTTTAAATAGTGCTGAGCTCTATGATCCATTAACAAGTATTTGGACAACTACTGGTAACATGATAAATGCACGCTATTCTCATACAGCATCATTATTATCAAATGGATTAGTATTAGTTACTAGTGGTGAAGGCGCTGGGAATATTGTTTTAAATAGTGCTGAATTGTATGATTCATCAACAGGTACTTGGACAATTACTGGTAACATAACTAATGCACGATGGGGTCACACAGCATCTGTATTATCAAATGGATTAGTATTAGTTACTGGTGGATACAATGGTAGTATTGTTTATAATAGTGCTGAGCTGTATGACCCATCAACAGGTACTTGGGCAAGTACTAGTAGCATGACTAATGCACGATATGATCACACAGCATCTGTATTATCAAATGGAAAAGTTTTAGTTACTGGTGGTGTAGACAATGGTTATATATCTTTAAATAGTGCTGAGCTGTATGATCCATCGGCAAGTACTTGGACAACTACTAGTAACATGACTAATCCACGACAAGCTCACACAGCATCTGTATTATCAAATGGAAAAGTATTAGTTACTGGTGGATATGGTATTAGTAGTGCTTTAAATAGTGCGGAGCTGTATGATCCATTAACAAGTACTTGGACAGCTACTAGTAACATGATTAATGTACGACAATCGCATACAGCATCTATTTTATCAAACGGAAGAGTATTAGTCACTGGTGGAGATGATAATAGTGTTTCTTTCAACAGTGCAGAATTATATTAATTATTTTAAACAAATTAACTTTTACTTTTCTCACTCTTTTTCGTAGAAGTAGTTCCAGTTTCAAACAATATTTTAGCTAGAGGTATTGTCAACTTGTGACGTCCGCAAACTGTTTTCTCTTATATTTTTACTGAATTATCACATACTTTTATATTCCATCCCAAATAAAAATAAATATCTTTGTTTTTTCTACTTTTTTCTAAAACTAAATATTCTTCAGTTTTGTATTTATGAATTCTCTATGAAGAGATCCATTTTCAATTTTATTCAGTTGAAATCAATTTAGTTAACCCTTTAACAAGAAATTCTAAAGAAGATTATATCACTAATTTTCTTTTTCAAAAGAAAGCTTAACCTTCAAGATGGCATATAGATAGACCTATCAAAGGCACATCATAATCGATTTGCACAAAAATAAAGATGCAATCTCATATTTAGTACATGATAATTTTTGAAGAAAATCAATGAAAAAAAACAGAGATTAGTGTACATTCTTCTATTAATCTTTTATTAATGATAGTTGATATTAAAATACCTATTTAAATATATATCAAATATCAGGCAAATAACTAAAGAAAATATCTCTTCGAAATTTTCTTCATTCTTGATGATGATTCGAATAAAGACGTTGTTAATATACTTCTACTTACTAAGTAGTATACCTGTTTGGGCACAAAATCAACCTGGATTACGTGCTTCTGCAAATCTTCGTGGTCTTCAAATTGGAGCGGCAGTTGTAGTTGATCAAATACGTCAAAATATTGATTTTAAACAATATAGTGAAAAAATTCAAAGAGATTGTACTGTAGTTGTAACGGAAAATGATTTCAAACCTATGCGTATTTGGTTAGGTGAAGGTATATATAATTGGAATGAAACTGATTTTCTTTTGGGTGCTACAGCAAATTCAACAGGTTGGGCTCAACAAAATTTAATGAAAGTACGAGGACATACTTTAGTTTGGCCAGATGATCGACGTATTCCAAAATGGTTATTGGATCAAGAATCTTCAATAACATCAGATAAAGCAAAATTATTATTAAGTGATTATATTCATAGTGTAGTTGGTCGTTATCGTGGTAAAATACTTTGGTGGGATGTAATCAATGAAGCAATCAATGATACTAATACTACAAATCCATTAAATTTACGTGATAGCTTTTGGATGCGAAAATTAGGTCAAGATTTTCTTAAATTTGCTTTTCAATTTGCTCAAGCAGCTGATCCGAACGTAAAACTCTATTATAACGATTATGGTATTGAAAGTATTGGATTAAAAGCAACTCGAACACGTAATTTAGTAAATTGGTTACGATCACAAGGAGCTACCGTTCATGGTATCGGTTTACAATGGCATATAGATTTTTCAAGATCAATCGTTCGTGGTGATGGACATTATCAAAGTGCTCAACAATTTATTAATAATCAACTTGATATTTCAGTAACAGAATTAGATGTAACTATCCCAACGAATGGTGGTTATTTGATAGATCGTGCAGATCTCTACAAGCAAGTTATCGTCTATCGTGCTATGTTAGAATATGCGATTTATTTTTATCCTAAATGTGAAGCATTACTTACTTGGGGTTTTACTGATCGTTATAGTTGGCTTCCAGAATATTATAAAAACAATAGAGGTGCTGGTTTACCTTTAGATTGGATGTATCTAGCAAAACCTGCATTTTTAGAAATGCAGGAACTAATGACGGGTGTTGTTGTTGATGGTGTTTATCGTCTTTCACCTCAGTTACAACCAGATAAATGTCTTGGTGCTTCTCAAATTGGTATTAATAGTATTGTTCAACTTTACAATGATGAATGTAATAAAACAAATCAAAAATGGAATATAACATGGCTTGGTGATGGAACCTATCGTTTCTCATTACAAAGTACTCAAAATTTTGTTCTTGGTACGTACAATGTGTCGGCATCATTAGGACACGTTCAAACATATAATTGGTTAGATAATGCCAATCAAAGATGGGCTTTTTCTGCAAAAGGTAATGATATATTTCGTATTGTACCACAAACAGCATGGTGGAAAGTAATGACTACGGATGGTACATCAAATGTTGGTATTGTTGATTATTTTACCAGTAAATCTCAACATTGGTTTTTAACTAAAGTTTAAAATATTTAACAATTAGATCATGTAGTGAATTGAAGTTAAACTAAAGTTCTTTTCTTTGTATTGCATGAATAAATTGATTGGAAATTCATTGAAGAAGAATTTTCTTTTATCTATACGTTACATAAGAGAATGATTCCATTTCGTGATTGAATAAATGAAATATCTGACGATGGCGGTTGATTTCTATCTAATGAAGATGAAAGAACTGTAGTTCTTATAATAGACTTTCAGTTTTTAATTTTAGTTATAACTCATCGTCGTTATTACTGGTTATAATTTCGAACTAATAGGATAATAAGAAAATCAACAAGAAACTATAGAGGGTTAGAGTCGATATTTACGGAGTACATTATTTTTTTGAATATTTTCTGTTGTTCAGTATTTTTTCTTTCAGCTTTTCTACGATACACCAATATAAATGAGTGACTACTCTTTGAACTTTATTCGAAATCTTATCGAGACGAACTAAAAAAAAATAACTTTTTCTTTCATTCCTCTTCATATTATATAGTGTAACAAATAAAAGGTAAACAAAAGCGATTATCAAGACATGCTTTCATATTTTATCGATGACATAATTTATTCGTATTTCTTTCTTTAGGCTAATGATTGTATAAGTAGGACCGAAAATACGATATACGACAAATATTACTTCACTTATAGACAAATATCTTCACCTATACATACTCTATAACGAATATATATTTAAAGGCAATATTTAACTCAACAGATTTCATTGATGTCTGACAACATGATACCATCTCTTCTTACACTACCGGTCGAACTTTTCTATCGGATTCTTGATCATTTGAATCATCTCAATATTCTTTGTTCAATGTATAATGTTTGTGTACGATCCAATGCAATCGTCGACAGTTATTATCAATATGAGGTAAACCTCTTTGTTTTATCTGACTATCCGATTATCATTATATTCAAAATAATATTCGTTCTAACAATACTAATACCAAGTGAGAAAGAATGACACAGTCTTTAACAGTCATCGAAAAGTTCCTTCTTTTTTCAATAAAACATGAGCTAACAATCAGAAAATCTCATTTTACCTACAGTAAACGTATCATTTTCTTTTTTCAAATTCTAATACACACGCGCGATAGTCCTCGAAAAGTATCATAGTCTTTTTGCATTCATTATAACAATTTTTACATGTTTGATAATATATTCGAACAGTTTCTTCTCTAAACGCAGTAAATACGGATGGGTAAATTTTCAGAATAGGAACATTCAACAAGAAGAAAAATTATCGTGAGAATGTGCATAAGATGTATTTGTGAGTGTAAGTATGTGTCTGGGTCACGGTGAACTTTTGATTCTGTACATATGTACGGCTTTAGATTAGTCTACGGATATGCCTATCAGGAGTTTTATCGATCGTTCATCATCGTCATCAAAAACCACGTACACCCACACCCTCAATATCGATCATTTTAAACATTCTTATTATTTTATATAGATACCCACTATACTGAATCTCGAAAACAATCAAATCGCCCCACAACAAGTACAACTTCTTGCTAATGCTCTACAACATAATAAAGTAACATTATACTTTCTCATACTATTATTTATGGACTATCTCTGACAGACATTCACCTCAATAGACATCTCTCGCAATCAAATTAATGATCAAGGAATACAACATTTTGCTAATACTCTACAAAAAAACAAAGTAATAAAATACTCCTTGTCATGTTATAATTTACTTACTATTTTACGTAGACGCTCAGCATAATGAACTTCACAAATAATGATATTCACGAACATGGTGCACAATATCTTGCTAACAGTTTACAGGAAAACAAAGTAACATTACTTTTTCTCGAATTTTCCCATCGTATTATATATACACTGTATAACACAGATACTCACCATATTGAATTTTGGATACAATCAAATTGGTGATCAAGGAGCAAAATATTTTGCTGATGTTCTTGAATATAACGAAGTAAAATTGCACGCATTTATAACTCTCTCATATTATTTCCTTGTGATTCCTCCATACAGACACTCATCGAAATAGACCTCTCTGCTAATCGTATTGGGAACTCAGGACTACGAGATCTAGCTAATGCTCTACAAAAAAATAAGGTAACATTACACTTGGCTTAAGTCAATCTTCTCATGCTCTATTTTCATTCACCGTATCGCATAGATGCTCAGCACGTTGAGTCTCAAATCTAACAAAATATGTGGTTACGGCGTACAGTATCTTGCTCATACCCTACGAGAAAGCAATGTAATATTATACTTTCTTCTATTAAGTTGATCATATTACATTCATTTACTATCTCATATAGACACTTAAAACAATACACCTCGGATTCAATGAAATTGGTGACGACGGAGTAAAACATCTTGCTGATGCTCTTCAAGAAAATAAAGTACTGTAATCTCTCCTTCTAACCTTACCATTATATCATGCTCAGTAATTTATCTAGACACTTCTCACACTAGATCTTCAATGGAATCGAGTCAATAATTACGGGGCACAATATCTTGCTAATGCTTTACGACAAAATAAAGTATCATTTTTTTCTTCTATAGTCTTCTCATTCTGTTACTTACACAAGATTTCATATAGACACTCCTCAAACTAGACCTCTACGAGAATCAAATAGGTTTCAGCGGAGCGCTATATCTTGCTGATGCTCTACAAGAAAATACAGTAATCTTATCTTATTTACCTGATAACTTGTTATTCGATTATCTATTGATTATTTTATACAGACACTTACCGAATTGAATCTTGGATACAATCCAATTGGTAATGATGGCAAAGAAAGTCTTGGGAAAATACGTCAAAATAATTCAGAAACCAAAATAATTTTCTGATTATTAAAACATTTGACTATGTCTCGTTCTTTAATTATAAATTATTTCTTCTTCTAAAATATTTCAAATATGTATTATATTCATATAGACTACCGTTTTTTTAATATTAATTACTTAGAAACATACTTCCACTTTATTCTATTGGAACGTTTTTGTTTTAGTCTCGAGGGTGGGTGTGGGTGTGCATATGCGTGTGAGGGTATAAATAGGTTCGGGGGATGGTTACGATTGTGGGTATACCTTCTCTTGACCATTGTTCAGATCTACACTCTCAATTACACACACCTTGTCATGTTAGAATAACATGATCCTTGGTATAATAACCACACTGATTCGTAGTTTTGTTTATTTCGCTTTTGGATAAGTACGTTATCTACTACGAATGCACTCTCTCTTAATGATTTCATACCAACGAATATAGTGATCAAAAAATATCCATACCTACATTTTTAAATATGTCTATGTTAAAAGAACTTATTCGAAAAAAAAATCCTTGTAAATAATCAATGTCAAATGAAAAGGGAATACGTTCCGTTATGGCTGATTTTATGCATATAAAATCATGAGAGTGAGGAAAGAGAAATGATGGAGAACACTTTCCTTAAATAAAAAATGAACACTGACATATGAAATGCTGTGAGTTAGGTACAAAAAGAAAAAGATAAGCTTTTTCTCAGTTTTAATATATATAGACGCAAATTGTACTGTTAGTAAGGAAAAATGGAGAAGATAAATAGCTTCTCTGATATTTTTACTTAAATGCTCGTATATTTCCTTGAAGGTTTCTATACTGATCACCATTTTCTTTGATTTTTGTTTTTGTTTATGAAAGATCAATAATTACAGCGATATGTTTCCATTATTAACTAGGGGTGCCACTTTATCTTTACTTTATCTTATAAAGAATAAAGATAAAGAAATAAAGTAAATCTTTATATTTATAAAATGAAGATAAAGATAATCTATATTTGCAAAAATTAAGTTAAAATAAAGAATAAAAATACATTTTTTCATGCAATAAATACATATGCAAATACTCTGTATAACAACACAAAACGTTTATTAATGCTCTTTCTTATCAGCATCCTCACTTTCATATACCATATCATTAACAAAAGGATCACACAAGAAACGATATATACGAAAAATGATATTATATATTATAGTTAACTATATAATACCATAATTTTCCGTGAGCTACTCTAAGAAAATAAAGAAAAACTTGATATTTATTTTATAAAGATTTACTTTATTTCTTTATCTTTAATTTTAAAATAAATATTATTTTTATTCTTTATACAATAAAAATACAGATTTTCGATACGAAAAATGTTTTTTTAAAGGTATGATATAATTTTTATTGTTTCAGATATTTTTTATCTAATATCGAAGTAACTATATTTTGCAAAAAAGAAATTCTATGAGATAAAAATTTTTCTTGTATCATTTTTGTTCGAATTCTTTTAGATTTCTTTTCATAACACTGTGAAACTTTGACAAAGGTTTATAAATGGATATCAACAACAAAATAAGTGTTTGTGATATAGTTCATTACGAAAAAAAACAAAAACTAATTTTTTTCTTTTTGCCTTTGCTTTATAGCCTCAGTCAGATAGTAACGATACAAGTGAAATACAACCTACCAAATCTACCAGATTGTACGTGTATACTGCGGTTGAGCAGATGAAAAACACTTTTTATTTTAGACGTGTATGTATTCGAAGTAAACTGACGTGGATCATAGTTACTATTGTGATAATAGCGATCATTATTATTCCAACAACTATTATTCTCACGAAAAAGAAAAACGTTGTTGAAACAAACTCAACAACAATAATGATGACAACAACAGGAAAAGAATCAATAACATTGATGTTAACAACAACAACTATAGAACCATCAACAGCAACAACTAAAGAATCATCAACCAGAACAACTACCGAACTATCAACAAGAGCAACAACTAAAGAATCATCAATCAGAACAACTACAAAAGCATCAATAGCAACAACTACAAAACCATCAATAGCAACAACTATAGAACCATCAACAACAACTGCAGAACCATTAACAACAACAAGTAAAGAATCATTACCAGCAACAACTAAAGAACCATTAGCAACAACAACAACAATTACAGAACCATCATCAACAGGGCTACCAGGTATGTTTGTGTAAAAAGAGACGCAAAAAGTAGTGTGGATGCGTGTATCTTCTGTTATAACATTACATATACAGATCCAGATTCATTCTGCAAAAAATGTATTTACTATAAATACAAATAAAATATTCGGAAGGGTTTTTTTCATATATTTTTCAAGGATCATCTTCGTTTTTCCATAATATCACATAAAAATGTGGAGCTGATACTATGAAAGAGTATTGATTAATCTATTCTGTTGTCATACTAGGGATTTGTCTAATTACTTACTATAGAAAGAGATCTGTTTTCATTCTTTACTTTGTAAATATGAAGATTGTACATATGTTTATTTGATATGGCGAAGATCCAGAATCCCAACCTATGAGAAAATTTTGAGTTCAACAGCTTCTTAGCACTTGAGAAAGTTTCTTTGTAAGCAAATGTTTTGTTCCAATTAATCATTGCTTTTATTTATAAAGAGACATAGATAATAGGATTAGTTGAGTGAACTACGCTGTCCATTAATGTAAAACCGTTGACGACCAGCAGTATCAACAGACAAGTTTTATCAGCTTGACTTGGAGCTATCTATCAGCCATTCGGTATTTCTGACTTCTCATAATCATTAAGTTTTATGGGGTGACTGGACGTGTTCAACTGAGAATAAAAAAAGCACCAACCTCCACATATCCACACCTACATCTACAGATAGAAATCATCAATCAGTTTAACATAATATAGTACTTTAGTATATTAGCATTTAATTCCAGAACTATTTTGAGCTAGATATATGATAAGTATGGGGAGTATTTGTCGAAAAACTTTGTTCTCAAGAACATCTTCGATTGTATTCGAATAAACTATTTTTTACGTGTTTGTTCAGTAGAGCGAACTGAACAAATAAGAAAATTCTGTCAATTTTCCCATATTTTTTTATGTTTGCATTTACTTTGCAGATCTCATCTCACTTGATAGTATCGATGGAGTTATCTATGGCGTACATGATACGAGGATAAACCAGGATAGTCAAGCATCAGAACCTGGCAATTCTGTCGGTCATTATCACCCAAGCACGCCACCAGCCAATGCATGCGATGGTAATACTTCCACAAAGTATACACACTTTGGAGCGTGTTCAGAGGGTGGAAATGATATGACATGTGGTTTGGATACTGGTTTTTATCTGGAGTTGAAGCGAAGTGCAGCAGTAGTTACAGGATTACAAGTCTGCACAGCCAACGATTATCCAGAGCGTGATCCACTTACAATGTCATTAGAAGGAAGTAATCAATCTGGATCGAATCTCACTCTCGGCTCGAGCTGGACTCTGATTTACAACGGGGATAGTGGTATCGAAACAGATACTGATAGACTCACCTGTGGTATTGTACAACAGATCAACAATTCGATTCAGTATAAAAGTTATCGGTTTCTTGTTTCGAGCAAGCGGAGCTCCGGGAACAGTGTTCAGTATTCTGAACTAAAGCTATTTGGATACTGACCTTTGGCTTTGTCGTGACCATCAGTCATGATACATATCCTGCTTTCATTTATTCTCTTATACTATACACACATTCTTGAGTTAGCTTTATATGCTTTGAGTATTGTATGCTAATTTATTCGACTTTCTTTTTCTGTTCATCCACTTTCATTTCAAATAAATTGATAATCTTTACAGGCTTGATTTCATTTTATAAATTTATAGTCGTGCGTTTTTTAATCAAATCTTGGCTTTGATTCATCTTTTATGACTCAAAATGGAAAAGGTTTGTATTGATAAGCACAATAATCGACTATGTTGAAATCACATGGTTATTTTCACTGAGTAAGATAGGTGTGAGTGTAAATACATGAGTGGATGAGTGAGAGAATATGGCTTATAGTTTCATGATGAATATGATATTTATATCTAAAACCACATCCATGCCCAAAATTCGACTGTATAAAAATATTTTTCAAACAATTTTTTGAACGAATAAATATTTTAAAATGCAAATGTTTTAAAATGCAAATATTTTTTAACGTAAAGTCGAACAGACAATTAGTTTTATATTCGAAGTGATAGCGTATTTTCAACATATATTGTAAAAATATCGAAAAAATAATCGTCTAGGAAACTAACATTGAAAATTTGTTTTGACCTGCAGATTTATAAATGTTATTCAGATCCTTTTGAGATACTTGCTAAAAACATAAGGAAACAGTATCTTACATTCTTATCGAAATCCTTAGTAGAATTGGTATATGAATCTGGTTCAACCTTGCATACTCAATTTAGAAAAGAATTTGAACATAGACTTGGAAAAGAGTCTGCCAAGATAGCTCCAAGGTGTGGCTGTGGATATCGTTAGATGACTATCAAGCTCATCTTTCATCTTACACGTATACCTAACAGATAAAAAACAATCAAATACATATAGTTCAAGCCCTAAAAATTGTTGGAATAAATAAATCCTTTTTTTTATTCAAGATTATGATTTCTTTGCCGTTCATTCTGAATAATGTGGGTATGGGCTGGAATAAGATTCACACCTGCAAAATGGTTTTCATTTACTTACGAGATTTAAATAGCTATTGAAAATAGATATTTTAATTTTACTGTTTGTTTGTATGATGATATCTCTATTTTGAATGTTCAAGTAAATCGTATGCAGATCGAAGTAATGCAGTAAACTCAATCTATAATGTATTTTGAAGATTTCAACTCAATGAAATGATTTATGAATTGAACGTTTATTTTTGAAAATATTGAAGAAAAACACTGAAGAAATGTAGTTTTTGTAATATATTCTTTGTTTTTATACTGTCAAACAGCAGTAAGGCGAGGATTTCTTGCTACATATTGAACGGTGGAATTTGGATCAACGGTCTGGATGGCACCCACTCTTCGAGTAAGACCAATTGTTTGACCACGAGCAACGGTAAAGACCGGTACAACACGATGTTGTCGCTGAAAAAATCCCCATCGAGAGCAAAAATTGTCAAGACAAAATTGATACATGTCTTGGAAAGTGATCAAAACAATAGCAGAACTAAAAGTGTAGTTCAAGTAAACGATAAATGTTGTGATAGCGTCAATGTAAACAGAATAGGTGAAGTTTAAAACAGATTGAAAAAAGTCATAGAGAACCCAAGGTGACCATGTCAAAAGAAACCAGATAAGAAACAGATTAAGAGAAAGGAGAAGACGTCGATATTTTCGCGAACCAGCTTGTCTCCTTTGTCGGTCAGCTATGACAAATTTTCGATAGAAAAGAACGGTAATGAGAAGTAGATGAGTGAATAAAACGAGAGAATAAGGCGTAAATGTAATAAGTAAATCAAATGTCTCATAGATATCACGTGCATACCAAAGATCACAAGTCGGTGTTTGTGAAGGATCGTCGAGATCAATTGTTGATGCTCCATTCTGCATGATCGTTGGATAGTAAATACAAGGAAACGTAATAGCTACAAAAAGACCAATATAATGAAAAATGATGGCATACGAATATTTCTGACCACGAGCTCGATGAAAAATAAACGGTTTTACGACAAGCAAAAAACGTTCAATTGAAAGTTGTGCGACGAGAAAATTATTGATTTGTGTTGGAATATAATCAAGATAGACCGTGAGTTCACATAATGAAACACCAGGCAGAGGTAAACATCCATGATGATAATAGTAGTACATTCTGATTGGTCCTTGAAGAATACCAAGCAGTATTTGAGCTAAGCAACTCAATAAAAGTGCGTGACTCTTAACATTGAATACCTTTTTCGCTCGAAAAATAAAAGTAATGAGGTAAACGATGCAGAGCAAAGCTCCGATCGGAACAGTGATACAACTTATACCAAATAAAATTCGATACATGGGAATAAGATCATAGCCAAGATCGTCTATAGATGCGCATTCGAAGATGTCGGAGGTTGTATTGTCACTTTCGTTCATATTTATAGCTACAACAATAAACAAAAATATAGATAGTACTGTGTCACTAATGAGAGATAGTCTAAATGACTTGAACACATAATTGTTCTATCTCACTTATATAAACACAGGGAATATTTTCTTTTTTTCTGTCTCCGTAGAAACGGTCGAACTTGGCGGGATATTCAGAATATTTTGTTATACAATAAGAAATGACTCTTGCTGTGAAGTTAATTATTGTCAAAAAGAGTTATCTGTAATAATATTTCTATATATGCGATATGGTATTTCTCATACAACAAAATCATATTTGTTTGTAATGAGGTTTGTCATAAACATCTATTTCTTTAATATTTGTAATGAAGACTATTCTGTAAGATCTAATAAACATCTCTCTTTCGTCTGTGTTTTTCCTTTTCTTTTTTTCTCCTTCTCTCTTTTCTATTCATTATGAGCACATATATAAGCATCCCAATGCTTTGGTTGTCGCTGTCGGCTAAAAAGCTTCATATCATTTTTTTCTTCTCAGCAGTCGCTCGACTGCTTGAATTGCATTATTGAGTATGAAGACAAATTAAGATCTAATGCAGTGCTTCGCTATATATGAATGTTTCATTAAGGAAATACTAAAATATAATTTCAGGTGGCAAATCATGCATAAGTTTATCGCATATGTATCTATTTCTAGATAGTTCTGATCGCTTTCGAGCATGATAATATGAGAATTAACTGAAGAATACCACCAGTGGAATTAGTATTTTTCTAAATTGTGAATTATTGAAATATTACTGATATTTTATCGTACTTCACAGAAGAGCATAAGAACTCATAAAAAAACAACTGAAATTAGTTCTTATTCAATCAAAAAAAAAATACAAAAATTATAAGTAACAGATCAACGACAGACTTTGATGGTATTAATCGAAGGCGGATTAAACTTAATCTTCAAAAACTAACTTTATCTTTCTGTAATTATATATCTCAAAATAGATTGTGACCTATGAGCTAGGGATCGGGCAGTTCAGTTTGGGTCTAAAGAACTGAACTGTCGCACCCCTACTATCAGCCATACAATGAACAATTAAGAAACAAACTTGTTAGTTTATCATGATACTTTCTAGACGAAACGACAGTGTTAAAAAGTCTTTTTCTTTACAAAAGAATAAAATTGCAGTCCAACACATCTTAAAAAAAGTACACCATTAAAGAATGTAAGTAGATAATGAGGTATTCACGAGAGTGGTGAAATATGATGGAAATAACTAAACACAGCAGTGGGAATGTGGGCGTAAGCGAATCTATTTCTTTTCAGTTTACATCCATACTCACAGTCTCAATTATATAGAGAAAAAGAATCATAATCAGCAATGATTGTAATTTGGGATAAGTAAAGAATGAGCGAATATGTATTTCATTTTCTACCGGTTGACTTAAACAATATTTGAGCTTTGATGAAGATGTGGGTGTGAATATGAAAATGATACCCACGCCCACACCCTCAAATTGTATATCATTAAAAAGATATACCATGAAACATTTAAACACACATATTTTCTGATCTGGAAGAGCCATCAAAAACTATTAGATACAAAAAATAGACCAATATTTGAAAAACTATCTGTAATTAATTGAATGACTAGATAATGTGATGACGTACGAATACTATTAATAAAAGCAAACGACTTTTAAGTTCGCTTTTGTTCCATTTTGAAAATATGTCGTAAAATATAAAAAGCTGAAAATTCAGTTATCCATACTATAGAAAGTATTTTTTTAAGTAGTGATTGATATGAAGAATTATTCACAATAATGAGATCGATTATACGTAATAGTCAAACTTCCTCTATTACACATCATTTGAATTATCGAAACTGTTGATTGTCTATCACATGATGATGGTAAACAGGATACAACCACAGTTGAGCCTCACTAAATACCTGATTTAATTTATCGAAAAGTAGTGGATGAGAACATACGACATCTTCTAATCATATTGATAATTCTCTGATATATGTTTTCGTGGTAAAGTCAATCGTCCTTACAGAAACGAAACGAACAAGTTCTTGATTTTTTGTTAAATTCATATACATTTAGCTTGAGGGTGTGGGTGTAGGTAGTATTTATTTCTTAACGTGATCCACACTCACGCCGACCCTTGTGTATTTTTATTGCATTATTTCAGGGTGTAGGTATAAGTATTGAATTCTTCTACATCCATTTCATCCTCAAGATATTTTTTGATACAATTTATGTTTACATATTATTTAAATAGAAGTTCATATTAAAGACACAAATCAAGATATTGTATGTTGAAGTAAAATAAGGATGTGGGTCTGTATGAGAGTATGCATAGGTTAGGATATAGTTGCGGAGGTAGGTGTATCTTCTCTTGATCATCGTCCACATCCACATCCTGACTCAACTCAAACCCATGAGAGTCAGAAAAAAGAAATGAGAGACAACACTTTCCCTGTTTAAAATGAATATTGATATATAAAGTGTTATGAGTTAGGAAAAAAATCATGTTTTCCTGCGTTAAAATATATCCTATCCTGATATACAAAGCCATGAGAGTTAAGGGGAAAAGTGAGAGAGAATGCTTTCGTTAAATAGAATGGATACTGACATGTAGAGTGCTGTGAGTTAGAAAAAAAGAAAATAAATAACATTTTCCTCCGTTAAAATGCATTCTGTTCTGGTATATAGAGTTATGAGAGTTAGAAAAAAGTGAGATATTATGCTTCTCTTGAATAGAACGGCTGCTCACATACACGGTATGGGCTCTAAGTAAGTATGCGATAAGAAATTTAAATATCTCCATTGCAGCTCGTGCAACCAAGCTGATTTTTGGATCAATGTAAAGCTTAAACACTTCTTTGTCATTAATAAGAGAATCAGCTAATTCACTCGAACCGTAGAGGCAATATTTGATGTTTTCACTGGCAAAATAACTTTGCGTTTTTCTATATAGTGTTATTTCCTCATCTGTGAAAAATGAACATGTCTCTATTATTGATCAAAAAAAGAGCATGGTTGCATAAGCCGTAACGGAATATTTAAATTTCTTGTCGCCCACTTACATATGGTCCATCCTGTATAAAAATGTTGTGAGTTAAAAAAAAAAGAAAAAGATAAGCTTTTTCTCATTTTTAATATATATATAGACATAAATTGTGCTGTCAGTGAGAAAAAAAAGGAGAAGTCAAATACTTTCTCAGATTTTCTTACTTAAATACTCGTATATTTCTTTTTGAAGGTTTCTATATTGATCGTCATTTTCTTTAATTTTTGTTTTCGTTTATGAAAGATCATTAGTAACAACGATGTATTTATATAATTACCACACGAATTGAGGGTATTTTCTTTTTTTTATAGGAAAAGCTTTTGTTTTAAAGGTATGATATAATGTTTATGGTTCCAGATGTTTTTTATATAATATTGAAGTAACTATATTTTGCAAAAAAGAAATTCTATTGAATAAAAGTTTTTCTTGTACCATTTCTGTTCGAATTCTTTTAGATTTCTTTTCATAGAATTGAAAAACTTTGACGAAGCTTGACGAATGGATATAAACAATAGAATAAGTGTTTGTGATATAGTTTATTACGAAAAATAACAAAAACTAATTCGTTTTTTTTATTTTTACTCTGTAGCCTCAGTCCGCTGACAACGATACAAGTGAAACACAACCTATCCAATCGACAAGGCTGTACGTGTATTCCGAGCTTTAGTAAATGAAAAATGTTGTTTTTATTTTAGACGTGTATGTATTCGAAGTAAATGGACGTGGATCATAGTTACTATTGTGCTAATAGTGATCATTATTATTCCAACAACTATTATTCTCACGAAAAAGGAAAACGATGTTGAAACAAACTCAACAGCAATAATGATGACAACAATAGAAAAAGAATCAATAACATTAATGTCAACAACAACAACGACAGAACCATCGAAAACAAAAATTATAGAACCATCAAGAACAACAACAACAACAACAACAACAATAAAACCACTATCAGCAAATCTACCAGGTATGTCTGTGTAAAAAGAGACGTAAAAAGAAGTTGATCGCTCACTTACATTAACTTATAACAGACTAATTAATGAAGAAACATTAGTCATATGTTGATAGTTGATTCTTGCTTGTCTAATTTGAGTGAAATTCTGGATATTAGATTATCTTTATTATTTTTTATACGAAGGAATAAATATAAAAAACCTTTATCGTTCTCGTAATACCTCTTGTATGTTAATCTGATTATTATTGAGCAATCGTATAATGTGCCTGTTTGTTTAGTAGAGCGAACTGAATAAATAAGAAAATTCTGTCAATTTTCCCATATTTTTTTATGTTTGCATTTACTTTGCAGATCTCATCTCACTTGATAGTATTGATGGAGTTATCTATGGTGTACATGGTACGCGGATAAACCAGGATAGTCAAGCATCAGAACCTGGCACCTGGTACAATAATTATCATCAAAGCACGCCACCAGCCAATGCATGCGATGGTGATACTTCCACGAAGTATTTACACTTTGGAGCGTGTTCAGAGGGTGGAAATGATATGACATGTGGTTTGGATACTGGTTTTTATCTGGAGTTGAAGCGAGGTGCAGCAGTAGTTACAGGATTACAAATTTGCACAGCTGATGATTTTCCAGAACGCGATCCACTTACAATATCTTTGGAAGGAAGTAATCAGTCTGGAGCAGCTCTCACTCTCGGCTCGAGTTGGGCTCTGATTTACAACGGAGATAGTGGTCTTGAAACAGATACTGATAGATTCACCTGTGGTAATGTACAACAGATCAACAATTCGATTCAGTATAAAAGTTATCGGTTTCTTGTTTCAAGCAAGCGGGGCCCCGGGAGCAGTGTTCAGTATTCTGAACTAAAGCTATTTGGATACTGACCTTTGGCTTTGTTGTGACCATCAGTCATGATACATCATCTTCTTTCATTTATTCTCTTATATTATACACATATGCTTGAGTCATCTTTATATTCTTTGAGCTTTGTATGCTTATTTATTCGACTTTCTTTTTCTGTTCATTTACTTTCATTTCAAATAAATTGATAATCTTCACAGGCTTGGTTTCATTTTATAAATTTATATAAAAATTCAAATAAAAGATCATTGAGGGTAGGTGTTGATGATGGATGCGAAGAATATCTACACACATTCTGATACTTATATACAGGCACACATGTCCTCACCTTCATCGGCAGTCTTATCCTAATATGTTGAAGAAGAAATAGAATAGAACAGAAGAAAAATATCAGGTTTTTATTAATACGAATGAATATATGATTACTGAATTTTTCGACGAAAAATCCAAGTATCTGCTTCAGCACTATCAATTATCCCATTCATACATATTCCTGTATGTAATTGACAATCCAGTGAAGTAAAACAGTCGAGTAAAGAGAGTAATCTTATTCGACTGGAAACTGTTTCATCATTTGTCCATGGTTTACCACTTCTATTTAGAAAAGAAATATTTTAAAGAATAAAGAAAAAATGAACTATTTCATACAATTTTAATCGATAACATGTCCTAGCATCATTAAACCACTCTTCTCGTTGAATATTATTTTCGCCAAATATTTGTCGAATTCTCTGAATAACATCAGGTGGGGCACATATTACATGAAGTTTATCTAAATCGTAACGCGAAATAGCAAAAAATAATGTTGGTGATGGGCGTACTTCCAATTGGAAAATAAACGAATTATTATCTTCAAGTAATCGACAAAAATCGTTTGATGTTAAAAGATGCCAGCCATTACTATGCAATGCTGAAAGAATATGCAATCTAAATAAAAATATTCAAAAAAAGAATTTAATTAATTCAATCAAAGAACTACATCACAATTCGAGATGGAATATTTTCATCTCCTGAACGCAACCAAGGATTTCCCTTGAGCTTGAATTCATAAAAACTGATATTCTGTGTTTCTTTTTGCAAACCATTTACCCAACTAGCATTAATTGCATCACGGACGGTATTAATGATCGATAATGGAAATTGAAAACATCGTAGACGATCAGTCCTAAACAATGTTATACAAGCATGTTGATGTACTGAATAATTCGGTGGCGAATCAACATGAATATTATTTGATGCACTTTTCGACATTGAAATTATATGAAAATAATGTTTTATAAGCATATTTTACTATCTATTTAAATATGACAAACCAAAGTAGATAACAAATAATGACTCAAGATATTCTTATCTTTACTTTTATATTAGAAACTCTAACTGAATACTCGTTTAGTTTATGATTAAGACAACTATCGTTATCAATCTATATGTATGAAGTGTACTACCAAAGAAAAATTTAACTAATTAGCATTGTTTATATATGATCTTCGAATATATAACAGTATACAAATTTTGGATATACATAAGAGAAGTTCACAGATTTTTTCAATGTCATCATCAAACACTGAGTGCAACGAGAAAAGAAAAAGTTCTATACTCACAAACCAATGTTTCATATGTGTTCTTATTTAGTTTTTGAAATCAAACTCAGTTAACAAAACTTCTTTTTAAATATGAAATGATCAATGTAGAACAGTCTTTATAGCTGAGGCAAGCTTTGAGGAGGTTTTCTTCATCCAACTTCTCACACATTAATATTTATGATATTGAGAGTAAACAGACAGCACTTAACGATTATCAACTTCATTTATTATTCATATTTTTTAAATCGAACGATGGAACTTAATAATTGTTGATTATGATTATGATTATGTTTGATTTCAACATTTCGATTTAACCAAAAGATTGTTGAAAAACTATTCTGTATTTCGGTTGATGCTGGTCGATCAAAAAAGTGATATTGAAGATGAAAATTAATTTGAAAATTTCGTAAATGACAACAATATTCTGTTAATAATGTTTCCCATTGATCTCCATTCGATAAAATATAGTCACATAAAAGTTTTATTCTATTTAATTTAGGAAATATTTTTAATAAAAGTTTGACATCGTCGAAGATGGTATGATAATCAAAACTTAAGTTCAAGTAAACACAATGTTGTAAAATAAAGTTTGACGATAAGATTGGTATTGATATTGTTCTATCAAGATCAGAATATAATCGATTTACTTTAATAGATCTAATGTACGGTATACATGATAGCATTTGTAGAAAATCTGTCAAATTTAGACATGGAAGAGTAAGCAATTCTAAATTTGTTTGCTTCATTGTTGTTGTTGTTGGTATTTGAAGATGAAGAATACGATCTTGATTACATTTAAAAACCAATTGTTTAAGAGTAGGAAAGGCGTCATTTTCAATAAATAATAACTGAAAAAGTCGCCTTAATGATCGATCATGATTAGGAATCCATCCCACTCGAATATGTAAAGAATCAAGTGATGTTAAATGTGATAGTTGTTCTAAGAGCATATACGAACAATCACATCCCATTTCACCTAAATAGAATAAGGAAAGACAATGTAATTGATTGAACGTATTAAATGACCATCGAGTAAAAAATTCTTCAATTTGAAATTCTCGATCGAATTTAATTGATTTAATATTGGCACGATTCGTCACTTTTGGTAGAATAACATTAGAAGTAAAATTATAATCTCTGATTGTTATAATATTAAAATATAATGGAGTAATTTCCGAGAGTATTGAAGTGATTTTTGAATTGATATTATCGAATGTATGATAAAGTTCATTAGCATCGAAGAATTCAAAGATTTCACACCATAATTCAACTGAAAGATCTTCAATAGTGCTGCATAGAAATGTGTTTGACATTATTTTGAAAATATTGTGAGAACTGTCACGTTCTATCCGTCAGAAAGAAAAAGTGACGAGAAAAAAATAATACACGATGTAATTTCGCAATAAAAATATAACCAGTGTTTATATCATGTCAACAATGCGTCATTGATATTCTTACTCATTTTTGAATACATCAAAAAAGAGAAAGAGAACGATGAAAAATAAATTTTATTATTAACATCATCATCATAAAGTCTTTGAATATCTTATCTCGAAGATGAGTGTTGGTATAAGTATATGCTCTGTGATATTCTACGTGAACGCTCTCAAGATAAATGTTTTTTCATGTGTAAAAGCAATAAGTAGTAAGCACTCCTTTTCGTTATTGCCATTTTTAATTCGCTTATTCCAAACCATTAGAAATATTGTATTTTTTCGACACTGTTGTGAGAGCCCTTCTATTATTCACATATCTTATCCGATGACATCTCGTTTTCAATTGATTATTACTTTCTTGTCAGAATCAACAAAACATTTCACTTTTATTTAAATTTATACAATAAAATCACAATACAACATAAAAACTAGTTCATTTCAATCTCTTATACCATTCTTACTAATACCACTTTTGATTTTCGTCTAATGATGTCTGTTATAGACATTTTCAGTGGATCTGTAAATTTAAATAAAGCAATCATAACTGATACAGATAATACATCAAAGAATACACAAGAAAATCGACAATGATATTTTGGTATGTTTGTAAAAAATGACATGACAACAAATAGTCCATAAGGAAAACCAGTTATGAATAAAATCGTTATAAGAATAACGATATTTCGAACCATTCTTAATTGTCGTTTTGCTCGAATTATAATATTCGCCGGTGTTATACGTTTACTCATTACATGAATATATCGAATTAATTTAAAATAAGTCATCATAATGAACAGAACAGGTATTATATAACTGCAATGTAACATATAAACTAATGAAAAAGAATATCCAAGTGGTAATTGACACATATGATTGGCAGCATCATAAACAATTTCTCCATTAAATATAAATATTAAAGGATATGCAATACTAAATATCCATGACATGAAAATAAATAAGAATTGTATTTGTCGTGATTGCCATAATAAACGAGTTGGGTAAACTACACATAGATATCGATATATAGCTTGTACTAAATAAGAATAATTTAACATAGCACATGAACTATATGCAATATAAATTCGAAGAATACATAAATAATCTTGATATTGAATTTTTTTAATATCATTTTGTAGTCGAAATCCAGCTATCCAAAGTCTGTCAAGACCAAAGATAAGATGAGCTAAACATGAATTAGCAATAAACATCATTGGAACTGTATGACAAGTTTTATTTGAAATAATAATAAATAAATAAAGTATGGCAATTCCAACGATTAATAAAGTAAATACAATCGATAAGATATCGAAAATTATAAATAATGATTCAGTATTTATTATTGTTTTATTATGAAGAAATATTGCGAACATTGTATATATTACCTTATTGTTTTTTCTAAAATAAAAAAATGTCTAAAGATTATAAATATTCTATTTTTTTTTACTAAATCAAATATACAAGTTTAATCAGTATATTCATCATAAAAAATAATAACATTCTATCTTCTAGGTATATTTAGAAATAAAGTAGAGCATTCTATTACTGACTAAAGGGAACTCAGTATAATATTTCATGTAATACCTTTAGATATATAATTATAGTTCGGCTATTCATTATCCGAAATAAATAAGGAAGTTAGAAAAGAATAGACATTTTAATCATAGATAATATTGCTAATAACAATCTTTTTTTTTCTAAAAAAGAACCATGCATAAGAAAGGCTCCGATAACAACAATGTAGATAATTATATAAAAAATAAGCCTTGATATATTTTTTTTCAGTTATTATAAAATCATGCTTTCATGTCAACTTAGAATGTTCTTATACAATCATGATAATTTCATTATAAGTTATTCAAAATAAAAAAATGAAAAGAAATATTTTGTACCGGAAAAAACAGCAGTACTCAGCAAATTAAGTTTGTTTTACGTACCTGCTTCTATATCAATTAAGGTTATTTCGAATTTAATAATATTAAGAACTATTATCATTATAAAAACTAACTACATATTCTGAGAGTCCATGTAGTTTTCTATTACCCACTATGTATGCATTCGCATTTATATGTTACCAGAAAAAATGGAGTACAATTAAAGCATTGTCACGCGCAGATTGTCGCATGCATGATTTTTTCTTTGTCGTCACTACAGAATGAATTCTTTGCCAAAGTAATTACAGAATCTTATAGAGCGTGAAATACTCTATAAACTCTACCTACTTACTTATTTTTTCAATTTTTGAATGTAAGAAAGTTGATAACTACCTAGGGTTAATAGAGAATTTCACGCTCTGTCAGAATCTTTAATTGCTTTTGCAACAAGATGATTCTATAGTAATAATAAAGAAAAAATTACATGTGTGAAAATCTGAATACAAGGATGCATTGATTGTGCTCAATGTTTTCTGGAAATACAGAAGTACAAATGAAAATGTATATTCTATATTTTCTTTTAAATTAAAATTTATCTTATCTTAACTACTTACTTTTTTTATTTTTGATCTTATTTGTCAGACTAATATTCATGATAATGGATTTTTGTTTTCTGTTTTATTAGTAATAAATGTCTCCTGATAAATTATTGCTACTAGCTCAAATTATCGAATATTTCCACAAGACATTTAAAGAGGAAAATTGTTCTGTATGAAAAAAAAATATCAAAGCGCCACATAATTCTTCGAAATTAAATAAGAACGAAATCGCAGAGAAAAAATAGAAACGATAACCAGTAGAATAAAAAGGTGCTATTAAAGTACACGTGAAAGATCAATAGTAGTATTACCAGTAAATAATTATAAAACGGGTCGTTTATCAAATATAAATAGGAGAATGCATCCTATTCCGCGATGTTGAACATTGGAGGAATCAGTTCCGCACCGGAATCGATTCCGTCCAATTCCGGGAACTCGATCAACACACAACATAAGACACCCAGTCGAGATTGATCGAGTTCGACCGATTCCGGAATTGCACGGAATTCCCACCGATTCCGGAATTGCACGGAATTCCTACCGATTCCGGAATTGCAGGAATTGGTTCCGATTCCGGAATTCCGTACCGGAATCACACCATCCACCTCACCCACATTTGTTGTGTTGTGTTGACAAGTTATCCCGTTTGGATACGATCTAATTCCGTTACGGAATTCCGGGAATTGCATCAAGACGG